AGAGATACGGTCAAAAGGAAAATAAGGGAAACTAAAGATAATTACTTCTCCAACGAATTTATTAAACACGCTAAAAACCCTAAAAAAATGTGGAGTCTAATAAATAAATTGGCTAGTAACAAGCTAAATAAAGATTGCACACCTTCCAAACTTATTATGGACACTAAAGAGTTAACTCAAACAACCGATATTTGTGCTGCTTTTAATACATACTTTTCTACCATAGGGCTAAAACTAGCCAATGAAATACCAACACAATTTCACATTAATTTTACACTAGCACTTCCTCAAAGTCTTAACTCTGAACTATCTAACTTTAATCCATGCACAACACTTGAAATCACTAATATAATAAAAACACTAAACACGAATTGTAGTAGTGGAATAGATGGGATCAATACTAAAACAATAAAATGCGTAGTTGATCATATTTCTGAATATCTCTCGATCTGCTTTAATAAGCTGCTGCATAATGGTGAATTTCCGGATTCTCTTAAAAAGGCCAGAGTTGCTCCTATCCATAAATCTGGCCCCAAAACCGAACCCGGCAATTACAGACCAATATCTATTCTACCTACAATATCAAAAATATTAGAAAAGATTATTTACTCACGACTTGACACTTACTTGCAAACTAACAATTTCATTTTTAAACGCCAATATGGTTTTAGATCAAAAAGCAGCACTTTATCAGCCACAGCCGATCTCGTTAGCGACATAAAACAAAATATTGACTCTAAGAAAATGGTGCTGGGTGTCTTTATTGATCTGAAAAAAGCGTTTGACACCGTAAGCCACAACTTATTGCTTAAAAAAATTAGAATGCATAGGAATAAAAGATCGTGCACTAAAATTATTCAAGTCATATCTATCAAACAGAACCCAGATAGTAAAAATAGGTAATGCTCAAAGTTCAGAAATACCAATAACATGCGGCGTCCCACAAGGATCTATATTAGGTCCATTGTTATTTTTAATATATATTAACAACATTCACGAACTCGGTTTACACGGCCGAATCACTCTCTACGCTGATGACACCTGCTTATTTTACTTTGGTTCAAATATCCAGACTATGGTTGCTCAAGCTCAATCAGACCTAAATGTTCTATCTTCTTGGTTTCAACAAAATCTACTAACAATTAATATTTCAAAAACATCTTATGTAATATTCAAGGCAACAAATAAACTCATTCCTATCTTTCAACCGCTTAAAGTTCAAGACGTTGAAATCAATAACAAAAAATGGGAGAAATATCTGGGTCTTAGAATGGATACAAATTTAAAATGGAACTTTCATATATCACACATAATTACCAAACTAAAATCACTTATAGGCAGATTTTGGTCAATATCTAAATGCATTCCGCAATCTGTACGTCATTTGATCTATAATTGTTTAGTCAAGCCACATTTCATATACCTAATTGAAATATGGGGTACAGCATGCAAAAACAAAATTTCTACAATACAAACACTACAAAATAAATTAATAAAAGCACTATTCAGATACAATTTTTTAACACCTACTAATAAAATCTACCAAGAAACTAAAATTATGACGATTAAACAACTATATGTTTATAGCACCTGTATCCTTATTAAAAAAAATTTAAATAACTCTCTACATAGTAACTTATCATTTAATAAAATCAAATACACCACTACACGCAATACTCGTCGAGCGAGTTTGCTTATCTTGCCAAAGCCGCGCACAAATTATTTAAAGAGATCTATTAGGTATGAGGGTGTGCAATTGTTTAATCGGTTGCCGTCTAAGCTTCGTAACATTAGCGTGATTGATCAGTTCAAAAGGGCATTAAAGACACACATCAGAATGGGCCCATTAGACTAGAATTGGGCTAGCTGATGGCGACGTGTATCTCGTTCGTATATATACTTAATATTAAATTTCTCATGTAAATAAAAAAAAAAATTTTTGTAATGAGAAATAAAGTTCTTTAAACAATTAATTCATTTAAAAATAAAGGCGTATATTACCGAATAAAGGAAACTAAGAATTATCTACAAAATATATTAGATCTACATCTTTCTCAACAGATACTACAAATATTTATCGTATTTCTACATGGATACAGTCGTTGTCGTAGATTACAAATATAGTTTTAGAGGTTTATATTTATCGTCTTTGCGCTCGAACGAAAACGCATGTGTAGTAAAAATAAAGCAATTTCCTTGAAAATATTTTACGTTAGAAGTCCTCTCGTAGAACAATAATATAGGTAGGTAACATATTTTACTAAATATAATGTTTGTTTTCAAAATTAGAGTTTTGCTTAACTACTCCTTGACTATTAATCAACCTAGGTCAAAGTTTTAATTTTAATAGCGAAAATTAATCAGAAAAAATTAATGATCAAAAAAGTCAAAAGCAATTATATCTAGTAATTAATTAAGCGTAATTCACTAATAATTTTACTTTATATGCTGTATTGGAGAACCTAGGAACGAAGTAAATTAAGCCATGTTTAGTGTTTACACTACATGGCTACTACATACGAGGTATATAGTTAGAATACACAATACATATATGATTATATGTATAAATTCGTAGCGTTTTTCGTTCAAGCGAGATATATTTGATAATTTGCTTTATCACTAGATTGGTGCCAAAACCTTCAAGCTATTAAACATAACACACTTATATCTATTGAAAACCTAATACTGTTATTTTAAATATATATTTAATAAGGACAAGAAGTAATAATAAAACAAAATTTCTCTTTTATTGATATAAAGTTTCATAGAATTATAACACATAAATGGGACCACGAATTAAACCATAGACTAAGGTGGATTTTAGTTTAAACTGATAGGTGGCGCCAAAATGTCAGCGCGTAGTTTCGATCGTGAATAATTGCTGACGAAATCATTCACAAATTATAAGAATGGCTTTAATTTATTATTGTTTGATTTTTTTGTTATAAATAAATCATAGCTGTTCGCTATGACCCCGTAACAAAGGATTGAGTGTCATGGTCGACGATCAGCGTAATACTAGAATCAGCAGTTTGTAAAACGTGGTGGGTTTAATTGATTTCCATGTAATTAAATACTTGTCTAATTATGAATAAAACAGTGTCGTTTATAATGTTTGAGAGTATATTCTACATATTTTTTTCTATTACTATCTAAATAAATATTTCACAAAAGCTTTTTAATAACACTTAGAAACAGCTATATTTTTAAACCTAATTTCAGTGTAGTGCTTATAAAATGTAATGCATTATAAATTTATAAATATTTACCAAATCGTGTATAATTCAGCTAAATTTTCTTTGTTGGCAACATTAGCGCAGCACAGACTATACAGTGTAGATTTATAGAAACGTCATAGCGATATTAATTTGATTACTAAATACATCTAAACGGCGTAAAGACATATAAGATAATACTTTTATATAATATTTTAAAACGTAATTTGCAATTTTACAAATTATTTCTATGTAATACTGAAACTTTTTAATTGCTATTTTATACTGTATTATTTGTATCTAAATTGCTATGTAGTTATGACTTTATGTTAAATGTTAACTTTACAAAATAAGTTCAAAAGCTAGTGTGCGGGTTAGCGAATGTCGATAACACGAAAATTTCCATTCATGATTGTTCAAAGCCGAGTTTACAAGCTGTCAGTGAACTTGCTGGCTTGTAACTTGTGCACTAGCTCTGTGTCATTGAAGCTATGAGGCCAACTATAAATTTTAAATACCACATAGTATGATTTTTTACGATTGTGACATTAACCGCGAAATAATTGACAATATACTTTATTAATGTAGAGGATATTATAATCTAATGTTTAGGAATGTTTTATGAAGCGTTTATCTTTAAATTCATCAGGCATTCTACGCTCTATGGTAACAATACAATTAGGGAAAAGGTATGGTCTTCTTAATATATCTATTGCATGGACAAATGTAATTAATAATTATAGTATCCCAAAGGGACATGAGACAGAGATCCGGTCGTTGCTTAAAAATTTTAAAGGCTTAAATTTTGAAGGTTTTTTCTCTAGAATAGAATCAAGAATAATTTGCTTTAAAAAACACTTGACGTTAGTACATTGATTAGCGTCAATAGGTTAAATTTATAAAGCCTCATTTGCTCCACCAGAGTGACATCTACAAAACCTTCTTTAATTTATGAATATATTAAAACAGAACATAAACTTTTATACATTTTCGCATCTATGGTGCGTAATTGGAATGATTTTCTAACAATACATACAAATAAATTGGCAAGATTATACATGGCAACACAGTTCTATATCTATGACAGGTTTCAGGTCGCTTAGTAAATTTTAATGGTCAATTATTAGACAGGTTATTCTACCAAGACTTATACCTTTTCCCATACGAACAGCCTCTAGAATCTAAATTCGTACAAGTACATACACACAATCTAATCTACAGAACCCTGCAAATCAGCTTTACTAAGCTTCGTCTACAATTGAACTATCGTTTTAGACATTCAGGCGGGTATTATATATTTGGGAGGCTAAATACTTTATTAACAATTAGTATTAAATAATTAAAATGGATATTGTACTGCATTATTTGTATCAATGTTACTGAATCTTTAGTAAAAATAAAGCTATCGATTTATTTATTTTAACGCTATCATGCAATACTACAATTTCACAGATTTTAATATTATTTTTGAACTAGAGACCGAAGGTTCATATTATTATTTGTATCTCAAGTCATAACCTCGCCTTGAGCGCTGTCAAAATGTGTTTGACAGCTCTAGAAACTAGATTTAAGTTTGATTGATGTTCTAGAATACGGGATATAGTCATGTTGCTTGAAACAATTCAAAATGTCGGAATGGTTTTAAAATCAAGTAATTTTTTAATCCAATTATGTCTTTTTCAAAATATTAATTTAGACATAATTCATATAATTTTATGTTATATAATAAAATGTAATTTAAATTATAACCTCAAATATTCGGTAAATTCAATTAACTGGCAATACTTAGAGAGCAACAAGCCGAGTGCTACAGCCTTGCCATTTCTCTTGCAATTTCTTATGTTCCTCATATTGTGCTTCACTTATGTGTTTCACTGCTGCTGTACCCTGTGGAAGTAAAAAATACAAATTTAATAAATTATCGGACACATCAATTTAGCCTAGTTTACCGAGTCTAAGCTAATTCCCGCTTATCAAAAACTTATATTTGACTTGACTTTCGTATGTCAAAAATAAGTTTTGGACAAGCGGGAATCATACTTAAAAAATATATAGTGCTCTGTACCTTAGGGAATTACCAAACCAACCAAACAGATATATGTATATATGTTTTATATATATAATTCTCGTATCACAATGTTCGTTCCCATACTCCGAAACGGCTTGACCGATTCCTATGAATTTTTATGCATATTCAGTAAGTCTGAGAATCGGCTACTATCTATCTTTCAAACCCATAAGCGATAAGGGGTGTCCACTGTCTACCCCAAAAATTTATTAGAGAAATATTCACACAAAAACTTAGAAAGTTTTCATTCCAGAAAACCGAACAGTATAACAATCTCTGGGGTAGCATAGCAAAATGTTTCATGTTAGTATTTACTGAAAAGGCAGGCTAAGTAAAATCACATTAAGGAGACACGAAGTTCGCGGGGCAGCTAGTATAAAATCTATTATTTATAGTGCAATTTTTATATAATCAGTTTGTTTTGCAAATCTGGAAAATTTTAAATTAAGAAAATTTTATTAAAAATACCAAACAATACCTTAATTTTCCTTGGGTCCAAGTTGGCGCCGAGAGTCTGAACCCCTTTGGCTAACTTTGACAGCGGCGATAGAACCATATCCCGAGCACTCGACACCGGACTGGCGATATTCCTGAACTGCCGTAACGCGCTCTCACTATGAGATGTAGCAATATTCAGCGTTATCTCATGCTGCGAGTTGGACCTCACGTGATAATTGACACCCTCGGGTGTAGAATCGTCGAAAATGTGACTTGAGCTTTGCGACAATTTCTGGGATAGCAACAAAGAGTTCGGCGGAAGTGCTTTGAAGTCCGAGTCGATATGAATTTGTGGAGTCGATTCTAAATCGAAGGGGTTCGTTTTCTGTGTCTGTGGAGTTGATGCTCGCTTTTCCGTTGGAATGGAGGAAGATGGTTCTTCGTGTGGTTCAATTTTGGAGGAGTAAAGTGGATTTTCGATTAATTCACAATCGTCATCCTTTTTCTGCTGATCTCCTATGTAATGTTGCATGTTTTCGAAGTTGTCCAAGGTCGGCTCGAAGATATTTGTTCTATTTTCGTCATCGCTTGAGTAGTCCGAGCTCATTCCGTCTGAGAGGCTGCCTTTTTTCTTGTTATCCGTTTTGTTTCCTAATGTGAACATTTTTCGTGTCCTCGCGGCACTTTGGTCGAATTTAAGTTGTAGACTGGGGCGCGCTCTAGCGTTGAGCGTATGACTTAATTTGTTAAGTTTACTGAATTGCTCCGTCATGTTTGTAAGAGCTTTTGAGCCTGTAATACATTTATATAAATCATTTTCAATACTATAAATTTGCCGTCACAAAATAACCGGACATTATTTATTTTACTTGTATAATGTACTGTCTACACTATAATACTATAGTTTTATATATAGTCCAACCATATAGATCACATTTGACATCTGTCCCTTTTGGCTTTATATTGACTGACCTGCTAAAAACATCGATTTAAGTGAATCGATACGAACCAATATATACCTCGAATTTAGTAATTATTAAAAAATTTAAACTTAATTTTGTTTTGATGATTTTTCTATTTAGTTATTTAAAAAATAATATAATCACAATGTAGTTATTCATTTATGGTGAATAAATCTTTCACTAGCATTTTAAACTTAAATTTTGAGGTGTCAAATGTGGTCTATTAAATTGGCCCTACTATACCTATTACTCCTTTAATTCAAAACGTCCAGTTATATTTAAAACTAAAACTTAAATATATAACAACAACTATCGATCTAATACTTTTCCTTGAATATTTGTCGTGCTCGGATCGTAGAATTGATCATTTAATTAAATAGTTGAACATAACATTTAATCAATCTGCCTAGTGTTCGGTAATCACTTCTTTGCATGATGATGGATTTTTCCATCACATCGTTTTTATAACAATTTTTTTATTGATCTTTCCTTTTATGACCTCAGGATTTTTTTAAATATAATAAAACGTCATGTATCTAAATGATCAATTCTCCGTCGCCGCCACAGGTATATACCTTATAATATAAAAATAATGAAACACACTAACGGTCGAATAAAAATGCATGGCGTACATGTGCCGGGATCAGTCACTGTTCGGATTATTTGATGCAACACATCGCGTGTTGAAGAACTCTTTTCTACCTCTGGATTTTCATTATAATATAAATTTTTGTTGATGTAAAATAACTTTCAATTAAAAGATAAATTTGCATATTTTTTAATAACCATAACTGGTAGATTTTTCATAGGAATCTAGTAAATGAGTAGTTGGAGGGGTACCGGTTTCGATTCCCGGTTCGAGGGCAAGTTTTAATTTAATTTAAATTTGTTCTCGGCCTTTGGGAGGGTTGTGCGGTACCGGGCGAGTGCCTAAACCGTACTAGGATGACACGGTCGAATTTCTAAACACAAGCACGAATTATAAAAAAAATCAGTGGTACAACCTTTTTAGGTCTGGGCTTCCGATTTTTGTATCTGTTAATGATAATATGTCAATTTAATAGGCAAGTAGGATATCAGCCTCCTGTGCCTGACACAAGCCGTCAACTTTTTAAGTCTAAGGTAAGATGGGTTTCCTCACGATGGTTTCCCTTACCGTTCGAGCGAATGTAAAATGCACACATAGAAAGAAAGTCCATTGGTGCATAGCCGGGGCCAATACTGCTCAAGTAGTTGCAATTACGTACAGTATTTAAAGTATAGAATAATCCAAAATAAAATTTTGCCTTTATTTATATTTTTAACTTAAGCATAAGCAGTATACTGTTGCATCGCAGACAATTCTTCACTTCACTTTACATAGGTGTATGTTTACTAAACATTTTGGGAACTAAAACTTTCTACCAGCGGTCTCATGAATTTAAAGATAGAGAAAAGAAAAAATTGTTCATGTCTAACTTTTTTGGTATACATATATTTTTACTAATCTGTGAAGCCATATCTAATTACACGATTGTCCGTTTGGTGGCGCTAGTCTCGCTCAAGTCATTCCATGAATTGGCATAAACTAAGCCCAAGTTTGACTTCGAGTCTTTTGAGTATGAGTATGAATTTTGACATGTCTCCGTTGAAATAAAGCGGACTAACACTTGGCAACAACGAGGACGAACAGATTGTGTGAGAGGGAGGGCCTCCAAGAGCGAGATAGACATCTAAAGTAAACATTGACAATGATATTCTATTAGGGCGAGAAATTTTAATTAATTTTTTCTCAAGACCGAATCTAACCCTAAGAGAAATAAAATTGTTATAAACAAAATCTAATCTATTTTTTTAAAATTATAACGTACCAACACTCCGTATATCGGCGACCAGCTGCGTCTCGCTTACATTTCTCGTGAGAGTGGGAAGCCGGGACAGATCAACGTAAAGAGAAGACCGCCCTACACCACCTTGACTTGGATGAACCTGGCAATACAATGGACAATCTTATATATAAAATTCTCGTGTCACAATGTTAGTTACCATACTCCTCCGAAACGGCTTGACCGATTTTTATCAAATTTTATATGCATATTCAGTAGGTCTAAGAATCGGCTACTATTTATTTTTCAAACCCCTAAGTGATAAGGGGTGACCACCCCAAAATATTTCTTTTTATTTTTTTGACAAGTTTTCTTGATTTTATTTTTTTATGATAATTTTCAACCCTCTACGATCAACCCCTATTTTGTATTATACGTAGTAGATAGTTTCCTAGAAATAATTTACATGGCAAAACGATGCTTGCCGGGTCAGCTAGTTTAATATAAAATTTTGATAATACAATTAAATAATTGAAAAAAACAAACTGATCGTAACTCGAATTTATTACATTATTTAGATAACTTAACAATTATTTGAAATAATTAAACTCTTTTGCAAATGTCGAAGTGTCGAATCAGTAAATGTGTGTGTAATCGTTTAATACCTTTGATTTTCTCCTTTCCAATTTGATGCCATCGTAGAAGGTTATTGGAGGCAATTTAGCGATGTCGCGAGCTACCATTATGGACTCACATATCGAGTGTAGCGATTCTGAAAGATTATTAACAGGCTTTAAGTATTTTGAAAAACGTTACAATTTTTATATTTTGGCTGCACTAAAAGGTAGATTTTAGTGCCTACCCAAACATTTCTTTCGCTGGAAATAGACCCAAGACAGGCTACTCGGCCAAAAAATCATTTACATGTATCTATAATAGCAAATACAATCAAATTATATTGAAATAATAGTTTCTAAAAAGATCTTTATAAGAACGGGATCGCTGAATTTTGAGTATAAGTATACCTACTGCTGATTCAAAATAATCCAAATGCAGATATATAATTTTTAACCAAAAAGAAACATGATGGCCATTAATTAGCCATGTCTTTGGTAGAGTCATAAAAAAATTATAAATATAAAATTATAATTTATTCACAAGTTCGTTAACAAACCTATCATTTCATCCTTAGTGTTGATAACGACAGCCATATTATTGAAGAATCGTAATGTTGTCGATCGGAACATGTGAAAATAGCCGGCTTCCGTATTATACACGTAATTAATACGAATACAGTGGACCGGCTCGGTGGTACTCTTGCGGCCTACGCTAAATATCTGTAATTGTATCACGTCATAGTATTAAACCCATACAATTATATGTCTCAAGTAATATGTAGTACTATAAGCTTAAAATGTTATTAATAAAATTAGATTTAGACTAATGGGGCAGTCGAAACGGCCTTGGAAGATTTTGATTCCCGTCTGAATGGTTTTATTAGTAAAATGATCAATGGACTACCTATAATATGGCAAAAGTGCATAGATAGCAATGATACATACTTTAATTAATAAAATATATTCAATTAAAAAATTCTACTGTTTGTTTCCTATAATAAACGCCAATTTCATATGTAAGGACCTAATATACAAAATTTACGATACGAACTAAAACTCTAATATTTTTTTCAAAAAATTGGATAATTTGCATATCTGCGCGTAAAGAGAGCCGTCGTCAAAAAGTCGCAGAAGTGCTAAATTACCGCTTTCGTTATGTTGACAACACTGTTACGTCATTATATCTCGACTGTAAATCTTGATAAACATGATACATTTAATAGTACAATTTTTTTTATTAAATAATTTAGAGGCATCGCAAATAAGAATTCTCAATTCTCAGTTCTCTTTCAGCCTAGTTCTATTAAAGACGACAAGGCAGTACGTCTACAATGTTTAGTTGTTCAGATGTGGACATTTTTTACGCCACGATGCGCATCGACCTGGATCTCTGGTGAGGCAGAAGAAAGGATAATAACGGTAAGGCTTGATTGCCCTTGGGATTGGGATTCACACGGGTCGATTTTTGCCGTGCGGCTAGTCGCTTCATAAATCGCCCCATTAAGACGCATCGCTTGCCTATTTACACAGGTGACTAAAATTGCATGCGGCACGGTTATTTTCTTTCAAAATGTTGAGCAGAATGGCTGTTCGTGCCGGAATCGAAATAGTTAGTCAATCAATTATTAAAGAATTGCTGCAAGAATAATAAAAAAAAATAGAATATATAAACTGAATTCTATTATTTTATTCATGGTTAACGATTTGTACGTAGAACATCGGGCGCGGAAATTACCCTCATGCGGCGGGCGATCGCCTGCAACTAATCGTTTACACGGTCGATTTTAGTCACCAGTCGCATGCGGCCGGTACGCCGCACCGCAAACGTCGGATGCTACCCAACTTTGGGGCTTGCGGCTTTAGTCACTTACGACCTAGCCGAATTGTCATTTAGACGGTCGATTTAAGCCGCACGGAAAAAATCGTGCGGCTTTAGTCACCCGTGTAAACCCCACTTTATATGAACCATTGCAATGGACTGCATATGCATGCCTACATAGTAAAAAATAAATACTGTTTGTCTTCTGAAATAAATTATTATTTGACTTTATTCTAAGACATGGGTCTTACCGTAGAATTTGTGTCCAGTGTGCCCAGTTCCACAGCCGTGACGTCACCCAATGCAACCCTCTGTACGGATAGCAGCCGGTCTGACGTCTCATCGTAATCAGTGACGTAATACGCCTCGCTCGTCAGTACCAACACACTATCCATCTCTGTCTCATGGGGATCACCCGTACTGCGAACAAAATTAACAAATAAATATTAGAGAGGACTTTAAAAATGATTACAGAACCCGCCAAATCGCCTTAATAGGCAAGTAGGCATCACACTAATTTCTATGATAACTTTGACGACATTAAATTTCTAAACAGTATTAGTATTAGACAGGCCAAAACATTATTCACAAGAATAGAGTCATCATCGATTCGATTATAATATCACAACAAAACAAGCCAGAAATGATGCTGATATTCTAATTATGGAGACAGCTATTGCATTATCAGAACATCAAAAGACTGCCGTCATCATAGGAGAAGATATTGATTTGCTCGTTATTTTAATTGGACTTACGATTTTTATGACCTTTGACCTTCAACATCTTCAGACGCGAACACGATAGCACTTGTGACTTTTGAGACAACATTTAGAACGACAAAACAAACGTTTATACCAATTTACAGCTTCATTCGAAGGTTGAAAGATAATAAGCTGTAAATTGGTATAACATTGGTATAGACCCCTTTTTTTACCCAATATGACTGGGCTATACATACAGAGATCATTGTATCAGCATGTAGGTAATTTTTTTGTAATTTTCTGGATACTCACTGGGGATCAGCATCAATAAGCCCCCACGAGCCCAAAACCGGTTCCGTATCGACGAGAAGTTTCTTGCAATCGTCAATCAGTGACTTCACGTGCTGGGCCATCGCTTCTGTACTAGGACCTGGTTGTTCCAACTGAAATTTTTTAGGTAATATTAATACTCTCTCTCTTTCTATCGTACTGTTTATTTTATTACGAAAAGGGACAGATATATAAAACAGATTAATAGGTTATGTTTAGTTTTTGAATAAGATATAATAATACAACTTGTCTTCTACGACACTACTTAAAATGTTTGTGCATTGTATAAAGAACTTTAAAACAAAGCACTAAGGGTCAATTCGAGTTCAAAGAGTCGAGAAAGAGCTAAGTACTTTATTATTAGCAGTCCAATAAAAGAGTAGGGCAGAAGACAGGACGATAAGAGACACTGCGAAATACGGAATAGATAAAATAGCTAACTGCACTCTCTATCTTACTGCAAACGCCGCTTAGTAAAGAATCAATCAAAGAATAGTTTTTTGCATTATTGGAAATAATTGTCACAAATATAATTCTTATTTGCCACGCGTAATTTTATTTATTCACAATATATTTTATTTTTTTCACATTAGGATTACTATCGAACTATAATTGACGCTATCCATATAAAAATAAGTTTCTATTCGTTTGTATCGCTCGAGAATGGCAGGACTGAAATTTGCTAATTATGATCTTGAAATATTTGTGGAAGTTCAGGGAAGGTTAAAACGGTGAGTAACATGTTTAATAAAAAAAAAAATTAATTTTCCAATACATTTCGATCAACTTCAAAACATTTGAAGTCTTGTTTTTTAGATAAACACTATACAGATCTTGTATTAGTAATTGAACTGCTCATAAACGGCTGGACCGATTTTGATAAGCATTCAATTTTTTATAATTAGATACATTGTTTGTATTTTTTTTTAAGTTTGATTTAAATTTTTATATTTGAGACGTCTGTTGGGTCCGCTAGTAAGATAAGTAATTTAGCACTGCAGCAACCTCAAATCCAACGACAGCGATCTTTCTCCATAGACAAACAGTCAAAAAGAATACATACATTAAACACATCAAGCTTGATGCCGGTACTAGTGCACTTATTACAGGGCACAATCAGTTGTTCGGGAATCGAGCGGGACTCCCCCGTCATCACATCTATTGCCACTTGACGCAACGCGTCTTTGAACGTTGACAAGTAGTATCTGTAAAAAAAAAAGTATTTTTATTTAGAAAATCAATGGCGTCACTGTTAGCTGTCATTGTCATATTTCCCCGGAGCTATTATCAACGTCAAAGTCAAATCAGTTGTAATTTGATTAGCCAATATTGCTATATCCATTAATTAAAAAAAATATGGAATCACTATTGATCATTGAATAGTAGGTATATTTACGGACATGTTATTCATACAGGAACACGATGTCATTTATTTTTTAGATTGGCAACACCATGCTATATGACAGGTTTTAAATTGTCAATATATCAGTAGTGCGTTGAATCGTTCTTGTACAATAAGTTAGGTACGTTTTTATTTAGAGGCGTGAATTGATATGCATCTATCTAAAATTGAAAGTTCGGTGGAATCCCGATACCAAGCCCAAAGAATGACAGCATCAATTTAAATTTGACATTCCATTTCTGTAAAGTCATCGAGGTTACTGTTTTGACATCCCGCCAAAATCTCTTAAACTCGGCGGTAGTCTTCCAAATGGCGAATGATAAATTAGGCAGGTTGCACATTCCTTGAATTCCATACAAAATATATTCGAAAGATTATACAGGTAGCACATTCAATTCCTTACAAAATAAATTCGAAAGAAATTAAGAAAATGACTTTTTTAAACTATCTGAGATTTTTTATTAAAGAATGTGTGATTATTTAATTATTAATGTGTGACCCAAAGGTCTGGCTGCAAGCCTCGGCTAGGAGGCCTGGATCAGACGCATCCTGGCTGAGGCTGTTGAAGTGTGTCTGTGACTAGCTGATTCAAGTTTCGTCTGCAGAGATTCAGTCAGTGTCGGGCATCACGGGAAGACATAAGCGCAAGCTGTACCAGGTTGTAATTGGATTTGCACCTATACCTTATAGTGCAACGTAGCTATGTTTAGATGTGTACGTTAAGGTGCAGATCTGTTGACCGAGCTGTTTTAAATAAATAATTACCTATTTGCTGAAGCAACGCCATCTTTCATCATACCCGTAAGCTTTCTCTCGCCCGTTCGAGTGTAATCTCCCTTAAAAGTACAATTATTAGAGATTAGTAAATTTGTTTTTGGCTCTTAAATACAAATAGAAAAATTATAAAAAAATTGTTGGTCATAAAACATATTATTAAGTTTCCTAAATATTATCTTTTGAAAATTTATACAACAGAATTATGTTTGTTCTTTTTATCTTCTTTATATATATATATATAATTTTACTGAACGTATGTATGTCACTGAACTCCTCTTAAACGGCTGGACTTTGACTTTGACGGCTTTGAATGAATTTGTTTGAATGCGTTTTGGTGGCGCCATAGATGGTTTAGATTCACAAATCAGCAGATGACGCTGCAGTCGGTATCATACATGTCATAAATAAACAGCTGGTTTCTCAGGTACCTACGAATCTCGTATAACTAGTCTGTGGCGTCCGAAGATTTGTGAACATTGCACATAACTATAAAAAGAATACCTTAAGAGCCTTAGTCCCAGCGTATTGCCGTGAGATAACATCACCGCTGTCTGCCCACATAGATAAGAAGGCCTGTCGTAGGGCGGGCGGGAGACCACCGCCTCCCAAGCCAAGTCGACGTAGCTGAAGCTCTAACACCAGCTTAGCAATTGCAGTCTGAAAAGCATTAACAGCCGAGTTTATAACTAATAGTTATGACTACGATGTCGTAAATATAGAACGCATTTGACATTCTTGGGAGATTTACTAATTTTGTACCATTAAATATTTGATAATTATCTTACATCTTAAGTGCTCTTTTAGCCGACATAGTGGATGCCGTACGATGTTACCGTTTCGAACTCAATAAATCTAATCAAAATATTCAGCTTACATGTGTCTTAGGGCATACTTATGAATGTCAAAAACGTTTACAAAATTCGTGAAAGAGCAAGACTACGCCATACGTTCGCAAAACTACCAGGAGGCCTTGTTCTGAGAAGAACGGGCAAGAAACTCAGCAAGTTTTACCCTCCCTTTACATTAAAATTATTCAAAGGAAAATGTCATAAACCACAACGTCATCTAATTATTTTACCACTTTGTCATACGTATTACACATGTTGAAAAAAAAGGTTAAAGGTTGGTGGATCCAATTTCCGCACTTAGACTTTCATTAGGTCCGTTATATGTAAAGTCCTGGCTAACTAAGCCAGCCTAACTCCTTCCAGAAGCACAGAAGTCATGACACATGTCATTTCATTCTGTTGACGTACTTTTGTTCATTCATGGTGCGAAGTAGCAGGTCAGTTTTTCTAGTATTCAAAATCTACGACTCGTATTATAGTTACCACAGTATTTGACATGCAGGAACCGGGAATAAGTATACAATTAACGCCTAGGTTTATTTATGTGTGGCGTTATTTAAAGGCATATAAATATAAAATTTTGATATTAAACAAGAGAAGTACGAGATAACACTTTTGGTAAATCAAAACAAAGATTGTCTATCCTTATCGCACTTACCTGTACAACGTTAGTGCGATCGAGACAATCGATGCAATTCACACGAAAGACGCCATTTTGGCCGCAAATGAGGCCGCGGTCGTCGCGCCAACAGAATCGCATCTCATCTATGATGTCTGCGATCGCATTAATCAGTATACTGACGTTTTCATAGTGCATACCGCGACTAAAACATATTTAAAAATTACATATAAAAAATAACAATAAACAATTTGTTCTAAAGAGTAAACGTCATGTTGCGTCAGTGAACCTTCAACTAAAACTGACAGATGTCAAATGTAATCTATTATATTGTCCTGATTAGATCACCATTACAAAATAAAGGTTATAGAATTTTTATATATGTTACTTTAAAAAAATATACACGAACATTTATATAAAATTAATTTGTTAGCATCGACTATTAACAGTAAGACAACAAAAAAAAATGGTGCGTGTACTTATGTACGCGCGTAAGAAGTTATACTTCTTTGGCTTTCTTTATTTTTTAAAAATATTAAATAATTAATAATAAATATTTAGCGTTAATAATTTAACAATATTTAATATTTAGTATATTATTCAATTATTAATTAATATTAATAATAATTATTATTTATTATTTTATTATATTATTAATTCAATTTAATAACTAGGTATGTTTCATAACCTTTTAACTAAGTAACAATAGGTCTTTGTGAAAAAGCATTGCTAAATTTCTTTGAAAAAATAATTAAAACTCCTTTATTTGTTTAAAAGGTACTACAAATGTCATTATAGTCATTCAAAATTCTTGGCATAGCTGCTAACGTCACGCATATTCTATTTCTTTTTACTTGTAGATTGTCTTATTCCCATCTCGCTCGCGCACGCACGGCGCCCATACTGATAATTTTGTGTCACGGTGCGCGCGCATCGTAAAATTTCACTCTCATCAATTTTTCATAACGCGCCTAAAGAAGTATAACTTCAAAAGAAAACAAGATAAAAGAACACAAATAAACAACAACCATGAATGATAAATAGAAGTATAGTAATGACACAAAAATCTATAATTTATGGTCAGTCATACAACTAGCCAAACGGCCTTAAAGGCGCCAACCAATCTTAATAGGTAGACAACGTCCACTGGGGTAAAGTCAAGCAAACTACTGAGTCAAGTCAAGTCAAAATCATTTATTCATATAGGTATATAATGTACACTTATGAATGTCAAAAATTATGTATATGCAATGCTTCTAATTTTATATTTACTGCCAGTTCTCAAATCAAGGGCGTAGAACGGAAGAGAAGATGTCAATAAACTCTCCGCCACTCTTTTTAATCGCCAATTTTTTTTGTTTTACAGAATGTTTGTAAGGAGCTGCAACCATTACATGCTGCACATGATTATATATCTAAGATAAGATTATATTTCTATGAATTATAAAAAAAATACTAGTCTAATTAGGTCTTACACGTGTTCTATAAAGTGTTCCCTAATACTTACCAATATTCATGAAAATCAAATGTAGCGTAAATAATATCGGGGCTATTATATTTTAACACGTGGTTTCCATACGCCTCCCATATTATCTTCTCTCTGCCTTGCTGTTCCACCAGGTTCACGATACACACTTGCTTGTAAATATTTAGTTCCTCTTCGAAGTGTTTCTTAAAGGCTTGGTGTGACTCTTCTTCCGCTGAAATTTTGGAACATAACATGAACAGAGTTGGGTTGGCTTATGCGTGAGAAGTTTATATAGAAGTAGACCTATTTGGCTGAGTCTAGAAGAGTTGCTAGGTTTATTAGTTATAAGATGTAGGTATATAATTTTTTGAAGTGAAAATTCTTTAGGCGCATGAGGATAAAATACGTATGAAACGCAACAATAATAATATTAGAATCACGAAGGTGTGCAGCGTTTTTATCGAAGAAAAGAGAGAGTGCGAATTACCTTAGAGAAATTCTATTTATAAAATTAAAATTTCGTAAAGAGAATTTATGAAATATTAGTATTTTATAATAAATAATTTTGCATAAAATAATAAATATTATTATTTTATGCAAAATAATTTATTAAAATCTTAAATACGAATTGTAAATTAAAATGCCACGTGTTTTTATAATCGAAGAGATAAATTAAAAAAATAATTTATAATTTGTATTAATTTTCGACACTTTTAATATTTTAATGACCATTAAATACCTAACATATCTTCCTTTTTCCCTCCCTCTAAGTATCGGAAATCTACAATTTTAGATTTGTATAAATATGAACAAGACTTAAAAATAAGTTTGCCAAAGAATTTTCACTTCTGACATATGTACTTTGTACGCACGCACTTTTGCAGGTATAATTAAGTAGATCTATCGCATTAGTTTAACTGTAAGGATATAAGAATTATGTGAATAATTAATAAATGTATGTTCGTAATTACCACTTGCACAAAATAAGAATCAAAGAGATTGTGGCAGACACAGAAGGCCGACCTACTTGTGTATAATAAATAAAAATGATCCAAGTGATCACGAATTCAATGTGAAGTCAGAACCCATATAGATTTTTAGCGTCCACTGTTATGAACTTTGTACGGACTGATAATAAACCGTAGCTTAAAGAGACGTATTTGTTACCATGGTAATGATGACCCTGAAAGTAACTATAGTAACACACGCTTACTACCATAATTCATATATGCAATAAATAGTCTTGCTTTTACTATTTCTATAGAAAATAAATTTTAGACATCACAGGAAATTCTTAAAATCAATGGGGTTACGAAGACGCGACCTAAAACTTACATCAATGATTTATAAACCTGTTTGCTTAAATATATATTACTAGTAAAAATCGTTTTTATCACTAACTTAATGAAGTCTTATCTAATATTGATCAAAAGATAAGTTGATTGTAGCGATAAAACAATAACAGGCCGGCAACGGACTTGCGAGCCCTCCGGCATTGAGTGTTGAGGGCGGCGATATCACTCAACAGCAGAGCCTCCTGCCCGATTGCGTTCTATAAAAAAATTACATTTATTTTTTTAATTTATGATATACTTACTTCTATCAAGCCGAGGGGGAGGCCTGAACTTGTATTCTGGCTGACTCCAGAATATTGGCACAGATCCGCGGACCTGGGCAGAAAAAATAAAATCTTACTTATTAACAAAATAGTATAATATTTATCATCGTAGTTTTGATAGTAATTAAGTTAAGGTAAAAATAAATGTTTTTTTTGGTTAAGTAAGAGATATATTTTTTTTGTATTAGTGGCCTACATTTCTATTTGCAGTCGAACATCCACTAGTACAATGTTACAGAACATGAAAAATAGCATTTAAAAGCGTAGCAAAATCGCAAAACCAGAAACAAAATTTGAGTTGAATGACCGCTTTCAGAGATTCACCTGTGCATAACGATCGTAGCGGTATTTAGACACACCTCGAATAATAACAATTTGATGAAAAATTTTGTATGCAAAATAACATTGACCGCCTTCATGAAGTACTTGACACACATTGTGTAAATCCAGAGCTACGGGGCTTCTAAGACTACACAAACATATTTTATCATCTAAAATCTATTTTTTTAACATATTGCTAGCACTATAAGACAGAGGTTTTTTCTTTTAGAGTTTTCGCCTTATATACATATTTGCCACTCAATATTTTAATGGCTGCAAGCCAAAAAGCCTTAGCAAAGTACTTAAAATGTCAAATTGATTTTGCTTTTAAAAGCCTTTCTCCAACGATAAATTTAAAGGCATAAGCAAAAAGATTGCATCATCGTTATTGTGTATCATGAACACGCAAAATTTCCGTCAACTAAATGGTTTTATAGATTCAGGAAAATGTGAACAATTCATAACAAATAATAATACTTTATTCAAATTTTAATAAATATTTTTCCTGTTGTAAATTACTATTATAATTGTATATAGGTTAGGGAGGCAAACAAGGCTAGGCGACGCCCAAAACGGGCAGTCATCGCAGTCCATGGAGAGTGGAGACCCATTTTAGTGTCCAACCAATAATTGTATAAACATTTCTATTGATTTTTTTCTATAAAGTTTTTTAGGGCGCGTTCAAACAATCTGTATACTAAACTGATGGTCGCACGTAAAAAAATAAAGGAGGTACAGTGTAAACTCCATGTAACGGAGTCCCGTACTTTTTAAGAAATCCGTTCTTTTGTTTACAAATTGGGATTGCTTGCACGTGCTTTATCACAAAGATGCCTCAATATCGCAAGATATGAATAAAACAAGTAAAACATAATACAACATAATTACTGGTGCAGCAAAAGACGACGAAAATAACAGACTATACGCAATAGCGTTCAAATAAGAATTGTTTTTCATGTAATTACTAAAACTAGTCTGAAATAAACTTTTTCTTTTTCTAATACAGATTTTTCTTTTCATTTAACAACAACTCTTTGTAACGTCAAAATATGCCCAGTCCTTTGAGTGTCGTTATATAGAGTTTACACTGTATTTATATATGCTTTATTCAATATATACAAAGCATGTGTCTTCGTTGATTCGAATACTCTTTTATTAAGGGGTAATAAATTTAATTAATAATACCTGTACAAATGAAGCTCGGTGTATGCTGTCAGAGCAAACAAGTGACACAATTTGCTCTGTCTCCACATAATTGGCTACTTTACCACTTGACTCTATCCCTCTACGATTGTATCTGATAACAACACATACATATTATTAAAAAATGTCGCCACATTTTCTTATTATTTAAGAAGGTATTATATGCTAATTGATCTGCTTCTAATAGAACTACTATGGTCAGTAGAAAAACATCAATCAACACAGGAATGTTTGCGACACAACCTAAAGGTTAAAAATACTTGCTAATTTGATTACAAAGAGAAGTTTTGTGCACATGAAAGATACTACCAATATTTATGAAAACACATTAGTACAAATTCTACACGGACATAGAACATATAAAGAAAGTTATTATGATAGAACAAACAGATGAATTCTACACTTGCAAATGCATATAAAAATTACCTGGTTCCAGCCTGATATCTAGATCTTCTGGATATAAGTCCAAGGGTGAAAGTATCATCTGATGTGTTATTACTAGAGAGGGTTTCTGTATTCAGTGGATTAACGTCTGGCGGCTCACAGGCTATTTGGGATAGATGTATGTATCCTTGAATTATTGGTAGCACCCATTCATCACAGGCAGGGCTCTAAAAAACACTACTGATGATGCTAACATAACCTTTATTAGTCTTAATTACATTTTAGTGTTTTGAAATTCTGTCAGGTGTTTAGTGGAGTTAAAAAAATTTAAAGCCTAGTGGTTAGGTGCCCGGTTTAACTATGAGTTCAAGCATTTAAATCACGGCTCATGGATTTTTCTTTCTTAGTAGCAATTAATTGATTGAATATTATTTATATATTGAGGGGTAACCGACATGTCCTTAATCCTAAAGTCAACATATGCACACCTGCCACCTGCTTGCTTACATAGAAGAAAACAATTAAGAAACAGATACTCTGAGGCCATTGGTTTTCTTTCTTTATTTCATACATTCATTTAAGCTTATTTTGAAGCAAAGGATTCTAACATATATAAAATTGTTGTACTAGTCCTGATTTGACAGTTACTTCTACTACACTTAGTAGTTTCTTGAACTGTAATAATGCTATGTGAGTAATAATAATATTTTATTTAGATATACAGTGTAAACTCTTTATAATGTCATTCATTACAAGGAAAATATCTCTATAACATAAAAATGAGGTAAATTTATTTGGTGTAACCCAATACCCATACATTAATTCTTCCCTCCCTATAACGAATAAAAATGTTCAGTCCCTTGAAATTCGTTATAAAGATTTTACACAGTATTTGTACTGTGATTGGTCATATTTCGTCTTCTTACCTCCAATGCTATAATATCCTTCAACATATATTTATTCCAAAAGAATCTATCATCAACATACTTCCACCATCTAGTTAAATCCGTGACAGGTTTGCACACATTTTCCTCTGTTTCGAGCATTTTCTCTATCTCATATTGTCTTTGTAGACTGTTTGTCAAATCTAATGTTCTACAATAATAGAAACTGTCAGAATCATCAAATATCTTATGTAGTTCATCTGTGAGCCTTTTCTCAAATTTGTCATCCAATTTCACATCTCTCTGTTTTTTCACAGTTTGCTTTACCTGGTGAAAAGAAATATTATTATAATAAATTCATATAAGAAACAACTTATTCTTCTTGTTTTATAGGATTGAGGTCTCCTAAAACAAAAGGACTTTGTTAAGTGGGAGTTAGGTAAATACATAATCTCTCTATAGGGCAAACCTTAAACATATTGATAGTACAAAGTAACATCAATAATAACATATAACATTTTCTAAAACTTTACATGGCATTGCAAATAATACTAGGTCAACCAATATCCTTTTCTAATACACTTAACTAATGTAATAATATGAAGATTACCTGAGTAGCAGCTTGTTGAGTAGTTGTTTTAATTGTATTGCTAACATTTTTTACTGCACCAACAGTTTTATTCAAAAATGCAGAATTTTCAAATAATCTTGCACCCATTTTTCTGTTACTGGATCTATTTGAATTTACAGATGATGATGAACCATGTTTTGTGCATGGACATAGTTCTAGCTCTTGATTTGTCATACCCATGTTCAGAAAACATATCGATTTAATTTTATAAATAGTATGGTGGAAATAAATTTGGCCAACTGGTACAGATTCTTTTATAATCATAAGACGTGGTTCATAAACATTGGAATGTTCTACTTTTCCTATGATGCCCTCTGTTATACCTAAGCATTCTATATCTTCTATATCAGAAAGATCCCATGCTAGAACAATAAGAATATTAAAAATCGATGCACTGTATTTGTTATATTATTTTATCGTTATATAGCAAACAAAATATGAGAAGATATTTTTTAATTTGATCATTAGTTTAGATCAATTCTAGTTTCCTTGTAAATAATGATTTATTATTAAAATTTTAAACTCACCTGAACGGACGGAAAACGCACCAGTTACCCGATTCCACCAGAGACTAGATTCATTTCTAACAAATATGTAATATGTTTCGGACCTAAACACTTCCATTTTAATTTTTATTTAAAACCGAGTAATTTTCTGTTTAATTTTCATTGTTTTTGTTGTTGTCGACTTCTCTATGAAATTGACGTTTTGAAATAATGAATAGGAATGAAAGGGGGCGGGGCGATGACAAAGTATTGGCAGAATTGGGCTCAAAGGAGATAAGCTACACTTCGTGCTACGCAGATGAGAAAAGTGTGAGTATTGAAAGCTACAGTTCATTAATTTTTAAATGATAACATGATACCTTTTAAACAAATAACTACTAAAATTTCGTTACTAACTATTTTTATTTATTGCTTTTCTAAGTTTTAAAACATAGCGCCGAGGAGAAAATCACAAATTTAATTAGGTTTAGGATTTGTAATTATTTCTAATATATCATAAATGTTGTTGTACATAGTAATTTTACAGAGTGTTCACTTAAAAAAATTATATAAAACTTTTATTTTATAATTTTGCTGCACTAACTGCTTAGAACGGAATGTTTCTTTTATTGACGCGAATTGCGAAAGCGCATTTGCCGCCATCTCAAGACTAGCTGCTAATGTTGGCAATTGATATGGAGATTTGCTTGCTTGAGCGACAATTTCAATGAAATTATTCAAAGATTCATGAAACTTAAACAATGGATTGGCAATTAACTTGCCGAGTATGTCTGGAAACGGGAGATATGGTTTCCTTGTTCGATTGGGACGAAAACAACGATCAACTTAGCGATAAATACACTGCGTGCTGTGGCGTTGAGGTATGGAAAAATTCTCTTACAAAATGGTTGCGTTGGCCACCCTAAAATTTGTACAGAAATGTTGCTATTATTGTATAATTTCATGCAATTTGTTGATTTTTTACTAACATCCCCATTAAGTTTTCTGAAAAGTTGCCTTAAATTTGAATTTATTTAATATTAATAAAATTGGTTCCTGATTTATATTTTAGGTTACAAAAAACGATTCACTGCCAACGTTAATATGTCTGAATTGTGTTGACCGGTTAACATATGCGTATGAATTCAAAAAGCAATGTTTATCTTCCAACGAAACGCTCAAAGAGTGTTTGGATGAGTTTCTAAAAACCTCGTCCTTGACTAGTACAGGCGACAACGATTCCATTAACAGTACGTATAATTCTTCTTTGTTGAGATCTATTCTTTGATTGTCTAACTACAGTGCTTGACGTAAGAAGAAACAAAGAATCCAAAAAAGCTTTCTATAATTTAAATAAATAAATTTAATTGTGCATTTATATTCAGAATCTGAAACTGAAACAATCACTGTAAAGCAACAAAATGGCATGCTGTTGCAATATGAGCTTCCAGTGGAACATGAACCATCAATACAATGGACTCGACGTTTGGTTAGGAATGACAACAACGCTGTTGTATTTAAAGCCCCAGAGGCAAAGAAAAGAGGACGGCCTCGTAAATATCCAAATCCACATGGAGCAATTGGTTAGTATAAAGATTATGTTTTCTCATCTCTCCAGTGTCTCTAAGAGCCCACTGTTTTTCTGTTTACCACATTTAATTTATAAGCTGAATAGAGTATAACGGTTGACAGTATTTATACTCAACACTTTACAGGACTTTGTACATGTTATAAGTGAATTTGGCTTTACTCAAACTTATTGATTTATAGAAGTATCACCATATCACCGCAAGAAACCCAAGGAAGAGGTAAGGGAACCTGAATCGTTGACAGCATTAATTGCCTCTGGATCATTGGAGATTAAACAAGAACCAGATAGTGATGAAACTCTGTTTCAATTTGAAGGTATAAAGCAATTTGAAGGTATAAAGCACTTTGTTTTACAATAATTTTAGGAATTCGCTTAAATTATTAATGACATATTTATGGTAGAGTTTAAACACAAAAATGTATTCGAATTGAAAGAAGACACCTGGCTTCTTTCACAATCTTCAAGTTAAGTCTCAGGCAGACATTTTTTCAATTATTTTAATAGCACTAATTATATAGTTTACTTCCGTGTATACCTTTCTTGAATATGATGTCCTAGAATTACTGTTCCGAAAAATTCAAATCAATTCAAAGTATAATTTATTCATATATACACTTATGAATGTCAGTAAAAAAAATATGCTTCTATATTTACATGTATTGCCAGTACTCAAATCAAGGGTGTAGAACAGACCTAATGAACTTTCCATAAACTCCCTGTCACTCTTAAATTGCCTAGGATTTTTTACAACAGCTTATTAAGCACATACAACCATTATCATCATGTTCCTCATCACTTGTTAAGTAAGCAGTCTATACCTAATGTTTCACCTATATGGCACTGTGCACTTAAATAACTGTGGGAACAAAACACAACCATATAGTATCAAGGTTAATCAAGGCACAAAATAAGTAAAACATAGCATATAGCATATATACACTGATTCAAGTCTGACCAGTTATCACAAGCATTCACTAGTATAATGCATGGCCAGCCATCGGCCCCCTCGCCAAATTTAAGTGAGGCACTTTTGTGGGGACAATTAGATTGGTGTATTATTTCTAAAAGAGTAATTTACATAATCTGCCACATACTTTTGTTTGAAGGTTGGCCCTTATTATTCTGACAAAGATTTTCTGGGAACTCAAAATTATTTACTCATTTTCTTCTTAATTAAATTAATTCTATATTCATGGTCATTTGTGAAGGATGCATTTGTTATTCTGCAGAATTCCACACCCCCTGCTCAAGCCTGATAATGCCTTCCACTATTTAGGTCCCAGTTGAGTTTTATTGATTACATAATTGTAGTAGTATGTGATAAATGATCATAATTTTCAGAAATGGCTGAGGATTCTGATCCAGATTTTGTTCCTGGGGAGGAAGAGGCAGATGATGTTCCGGTATGTATTTAAATCTCTATTACTTAAAATTTCTTTACACAATTTGGGGCCTTCTCCAAATATAAACTAGTGGTCATGTTTACAACTATTTCAATTTTTTTTAGAAATTGCTAGTTTTGCTATAGTAAAATTTCTACAATGCTACAATTTGCTATATTCTAACCATGGCTACAATACTTTCAGTTGGTTGTAAAACTTGAACACTAAACATAACTAGTAGAAATTAGGTTTACAAAATGTTTGTATGTACAACATGTTTAATGTATCATGGATATCTGATTTTTATTGATGCTTAACTGTTTAATGTTCTTATTTTTGTTTGTAACTTGGTACATACCTATAAATAGGTATATAGTATATAATAGTAGTAGTAAGTAAAATCATAGCAGTGTTGGCCTATTGACTTCAGCGACTATCATCACTAAGGTTATCGGTTCTATGCCCGGCTGTGCACCAATGGATTTTCTGTCTATATGCGCATTGAACACTTGCTTGTATGGTGAAGGAAAACCTCATGTGGAAACTGGAATGGTTCAATTGATCAACAATATGTCAGATAAAAGGCTGATGGAGATCCTACTGGTCTATGAAATAAAAAGTGTTTAATATTACTATTATTTGATAGTACTTTGTATAATTCTAGTTAAGATAAAAATTTTACTTGAAGGTCATTTTGGTTTAGTAAATAATTCCGTTAAAAATAGTTACAGCAAGATACCCCAAGGAAACGCGGTCGGCCGAGGAAAATAAGACCCCCAGTGCCAGATATAAAAATTAAGGAAGAAGCGGAAGACATGCTGCTAAAGGAAACCATTATGGCATTCTCCGAACCCATACATGATGATGCGTTAAACCCAAAACCAAAGCCCAAGAAGAAAAAAATTCAACAAAAGAAAAAGAAATATGTGTATTCTAAGACGTAAGTTATATTAGGACTTTACATATAGACCCCCCTATAACGCGATAGACCCAGACCGCGTTATAGGAAATCGCGTTGTAGAAATATTCTCGTAAAACCCTGTTTCTTTTAACAACAACACGAATTTAATAAAGTTATTTAGTTTAATTTGATAACAATACAATTGAAACAGGTGCAAAGGTGCGCAAAACAACTTATGGATTTGACAAATCATTGTAAATTTTACACTTCAGAAATATAACTTGAGAAATCTCCGAGTTGTAGGGGGGAAATACCGTTATACGGGGGACGGATCCCGTTTAACATAAATGCGTTATAGAGGGGACAATATTTTATTAATTATTTACAAAAATCCAACGTTTTTACATTCATACATTCAGTACAGGCACTTTAATTAAAATAAAACATTGTTTTTAAGCTATCTGTAGTAGTTAAAAGCATCTGTATTTGGTCTTTCATCTTGAAGTTTGTTCTAATCACGGCTGTTCGCCAATAGATTTTTGTTTTAAATGTGCATTTAAGAAAACAAATCTATGGCTAGACCAAACGCCATTTTTATTAGGATATTTGTTTTTTCAGTCACGTGTGTGAAACATGCGGTGCGTCGTTCACTTCAAACGCTTCGTTGCAAGCGCACATTAGACGCCATTTGGGAATCAAACCATTTGTATGCAGGTATGCTAGCTTTAATGGTATAAGTAGCGTTTTTATTAAATCAAGAATAACAATACTAATGCAATATTATTAAAAAAAATGGATAGATGTCGAAGTATCTATTTCATATCTTTAGTATTGTTATTTATTGGATATTTTAATTTTTTGTAATAGGTATTTTTAACCTCTGTGTATTAATGTTTATTTTTATTATTTTTAATTAAAAATAATTTATATTTTTTAATTAAATATAAATAGTTTATAATTAGATTGGTGTATTTTTTTTTAAACAATGGGTGCGGGTGGATTGATACTCTATATAAATTTTCAAAATTAACAAATGGTAAATTTTTAATAATGTCCCCTGCGCCCATATGTGGCCTTTTTTGTACCGTTGTGTTGATCATGCACCCGCACCCGCATTCAAGAAGTCGTAAATTTTTAGCAAAGGATAAATTCAATACAAAAATAGTTTATCCATTTTAATGCAAATAATTTCTTTATACGTGACATTAGCATACATTGACGTATACCGCACGTTAAATTGTCTTAAGTACACAAACAAGGAAAATTACGTGCTGTACGTCTACGTATGCCATACGACATGTGTCGGTATATATCAAACGTTTGTGACACGTGTGTAGTATATGCGGGTACGCGTGCGTGATGAACATGGAGCTGCGTCGTCATATGTTCCGACACACGGGCGTGCGCCCCTACAAGTGCAGAGTTTGCGATCGCCGATTTGGGGACTTCGGTAGCCGACAGAAGCATGAAAGGCGAGTCAACGCACTGTAGCATACGTTCAAATACGAAAGATTTAAACATAATCTTGTTTTGTATCTGTGCATAGGCAATTAGTTTTTTCAACTTAATTTTAAATGTTTAAATCTTTCTTATTTCGACTTATTACAGTCTCGGAAACATAACTTGAATTTACTGTATTCTAAAGCGTTACACAAATTATCTACCTATCATTTATTATCTATGATTGAAATTCTAATCTGCGAATGATAGAGTGAGATACTTAAGACTCGTTTCTGAGTACAAGCCAAACATATCAACGCAGCTAAACGGTACAAATGGGCCATTTCCATGGTAACACTAGGTACAAATAGATAATCACTTAATATAGCGTTTGCGGGTTCGCGGCCGTGGCCAATATAGAGTTAAAACGGCATATGGTGAAGCATACGGGCCAAAGGCCATACCCGTGTCGGCATTGCGATAAGACGTATACAGACTTTGGTACACGACAGAAACATGAACGGTAAGGCAGGTTTTGTAAAAGTTTTTCGTTGACATCTCAAAAGCTATTGGAAAACAACAAATTAAAAATTTGGCCCTTTAATATCACTTTACACACATATTATGTTTAACGCAATTTCTGTATATTAGGTTAATTAAGGGGCCCGCTTGCAGCTGCCTTAATCTTCCATAATATGGAATAAATGATATGCAGATGAGTGAGAAGATATTGCAAGCCCTATATAATGCATATGCGGGTGGATTTCGGTCTGTTTCATTGATGATTTTTAAGGCAATAATATCCTTCTCTCATATAGTGAACTTATATTCTACTAAATTTCAGTAAAGCTCGTTTTACACCGTAAGTTGAGCTAAAATGTCAAAAGAGTGCAGTGCATATACAGTGATTTCTTGTGACTTATAGACGATAATATACTACTATAGAAATGACTAATAGTTCGAAGTTAGTGATAATTTTCAGATCTTCAACGAAACTTCTTTTGTTTAAAATTTATAGAATTGCGTTTTTTTTTATAACAAAATTAAAATAATAATATGCTTCAAAAATTCCAGATTGCACATGGGCATTCGTCCCTACCAGTGTTCGTTATGTGGAAAGTCGTTTACGTACTCGTACGTGCTCGCTAATCATATGTTAACTCACACCGGCGAGAAGAAGTATGCGTGAGTATATTTTCAATATCATGATTTTGTTCAAATTGACTTTGTGTTATATTATATAGAGATTATCGTTGACGAAAATTCTTTTATCCATACTTCAAAAGATAGTAAGCATACAGATGGCGGGAAGGGACTTTTATTATTAATGAGTAACATGATTATTATTAATGCGTACAATAACATATTTATAGGTCATTTATTTAATCTATATTTTCTTAATTTTATTATTATTATTTTAATATTCTTTTTTTATATGATTAAAATGACGCATCAAATGAAAATAGGCCTATGCAAATTTTTAAATCGAAAATAATTACCCTGTGTCTAGGGAATCAAATCCAACCTAAACAATCAATATAAAAACCAATATTTACCCACATTTAAAATGTTTGATATTTATAATATATAAATATGTTTTTTTAGATGTGGTCCTTGTAACAAGAAATTTACGAAGGCCCACCACCTGAAGTACCACAACAAGGTCCATCATAAAGAGCTGTACATCCAACAGCAGCTGGAGCAAGAGGCAAAGAAGATGAGGCAGAGGATCAACGTCTCCAACCTCTCGGGAGTCATCTCGGGGGAGATCGTTGATGGCACTCTGCAGCTCACCCACATCACTGAAGGTAGTTTCTTTTTCCACTTTGTAAACACAAATTCGATTTTATTGATAGATAGATTTTATAATATCAGCCTTTTGAGTCTGTGTGGCAAGACAGTCATCGTGGAAATTGAAGTCGCAGTATTTTCATAAACTAAGCCTCATATAGGCCTTGTCATTATTACTTTCTGTTGCAACATACCAATTTTAATTTACTGAAGAAGAAAATATTATATTTTTCTCGTTTTTGTTATACTATGATCGTTATTAAACATAAGGTTTAAACCTATTCAAATTTCACCGCCACAGCTTAATGGTATAACTTCGATTACCGGCGAAATTACAATTATTATTGATTGGGAAAGATTTTTGATCTGTTACAACTTTTAAAAAAATATACAAAGAAACGACAACAATGAATAATAAAGTAATTTAACAATTAACACAAAGCTACACACAAGTTTGATTCAAATTATTGATGAAAGATTGGACTTGGCACATTTGACTCAGACATCGAATAATATGTTTCAGATGGCGAACACGAGTCCCAAATGGAGGTTGTCGAACAGGATGATGAACAAAATGAAACGGACCGAGCCGTCGCTGATATGCAAGCGGTTAGTTCATAAAAAAAAAATTGTATGGAAAAATTGAGCACTTGGGCGTATTTGGAACTAAATAAAAGATGAATATGTATACGGTGTATGTATTTTAAATTGCACAAAATTAATAATAATATTTTATTAAAGAACAAAATGTTTTAAATGGCCTTAATCTAAATGCTTAACCGAAATGTTTCCGTTTTATAATAGTGTTGATAATAAAATATTAACTAATTTTTCAGGTGGTCCTAGATTCGGAGTTTGCAGGCAATGATGACCTTAAGACGCGTATAATTAGTCATAGTGAGATTTAATAATAGATTTAATTAAATACATATCCAATTGTATGCAATAGAAGTAACAAGTGACTTACATTAGTGGCTTAAACTCGAATTCAGTAGCGTGCCTAGTAATAATAAACTGCCAAAAAATTATATAGGTAGAAGTAATTATATCAAAATATATATTTTTTACTTCCAGTTCCATATAAGGTCCTCCAATAGTTACCTCGTTATTTAAAAAATCTGTCTAATTGCACAGTTTTTACTTAGTATGAGTACTTGTAAGAGTGTGAGTCTCTTTTCATCACAGCATGAACATAATCTGAGAGAAAGAGACAGAAGATTATTTCAGTAAAAGAGGGCAATTAGACCTGTATACATAAAAAAATGATCATTTTATGACGAAAAGGGTTTGGTTAGGATAGGACATTGTTATTATGATATAGCCCTGAGTAAATATTGTTTCAAGCTTATTTTCTTTACTAGCACATAAAGACTGAAGTGGAAAGTAGTTTTATTTATATAATTGACTGGCGATAGTGATTAATGTAAAATTTTAAACGAAAGGTTGTCTATTTATTATATTTACCACAAAAATATTTAATTATAAAATAAATATTTTGAGGCTGATCTTTGTTTTTGCAAATTTGGATAGTTTACTTCTGAACGTAAATCATCTTCCGGTAAGAAGACGCATAAATAGAAATGCTAGATTTAACAGGTTCACTGTTCAAGCATAAAAGTGGAAATACGTCCAGTTGCGTTTCTATGAAAAGTAGTTCCCTTTGAGGTTCAAATGAAAGCTTAAATATTAAAAAAAAACGTTTTGCCGTATGTCCCAGAACTTTTTAGGTTCTCAGTGATATGTCCTGTCAAGTTCGCGCCATATACGCAACTACGTCCAAAACTCCAAAAAGCCTAGAAGTTGTACCTGCAAGCGGACCACATGTGGACCGTGAACGTGTAGTGCTATCCGTATACAGATATGGTCTTTGGCCTGTGAACCTGTTAAGTAATGTTGTCTTGTTTTATGTCGTTACATAACGTATCTGTCATAGGATTCCATACTAGCGTGTGTGTTATAATTATAATCATTTAATCTTGTTGAATAAATAATTGATTCAGTAATTATTGTCTTTAATTATTGCATTTTTTTTATTATTGTCTTTTTGTATTAAAAAATTGTCACCTTATAGGTCTGGGCCTCAGATATCTGTTTCGTGATCATTTTTGGGAAACCAGTTTAGACCGATTAAAAAATATACTTATTTCATAAATTGTTAGTATAACTACTCAAGAACTTGTGGTCAAAATTTGAAAGCAAAATGCGCATTATTCCCGATGCTACGAGGGCGGTACTGAAAATTTCGGGAATCAAGGAAGTGACACAACATTACTATTTAAAAATGTATTTATTGCTTTTCGAAGTATTCTCCGCGAAATTTGACACATTTTTCATACGATGGAACCAATAATTGAAGCAACCATTCCATTCGGAAGTTGGGGTCTCCAAAATGGCCGTTTTGTAGGTGTCCACAGCTTCTTCAGGTGATGAAAATCTCTGACCACGCAATTTATTCTTTATTTTAGGGAAAGTATAGAAATCATTAGGGCTTCGGTCGGGGCTGTACGGCGGATGGTCTAATAATTCTATGTTTTCTTGCTCTAAAAACTCTTTTGTTCTGTGCGAGAACTCGCATTGTCGTGATGGAGGATGATGCGGCGGTTGCAGTTTTCTTTACGGAGTTCAGAAACAACCTGTGGTAAACAAATGCTAGCATACCATTCTGCATTAACCGTTCTTTGTCCCTCAAGAGGAATAGTCGCAACATGGCCGGTTTTGGAGACAAACGTGGCCACCATTTTTTTTGCAACACTCCGTGAACGAACAATTTTCGTTGGCTTTAACTCATTTTCGAACACCCAAACTCGTGACTGGTTTTTTGTTTCGGGTTCGTACGCGTATATCCAGGATTCGTCACCTGATACGATGTTGTATACAGCATTTGAGGATCCTGCGTGGAATCTTTCGAGAGTTCTGACGCACCAAGTAACGCAAACCGCTTTTTGCTCTTCACAGAGCGAATGCGGTATCCATCGGGAAAACAACTTTTTTACACCTAATTGTTCATGCAAGATTATTTGTATTTGACTCATGCCAATGTCTAAAGTTGCCTGAATTTCGCGGTATGTCACATGTCGATCTTCCTCAATCAGCTTACGCACAGCATCAACGTTTTCTTGAGTGACTGCAGTTTTTGGACGACCTTGACGGGGATCATCACTGAGCTTGACACGTCCACGTTGAAATTCAGCAAACCAGCGATAAATTGTGGTTTTGGATGGGGCTGCAGAAATCATCCGGTCAACACACTGTTTGTGATAAACCACTTCGAAAGTCATAATAAATCATCGCTCTTGAATTTTCTCGAGTCAATTCCATTTTCTCAACGACTAAACAAGTTTGACAAAACTTTGTGAAAAGACCGAGAATCTTCTTTAAAAAAAAATGGTATTCGATTTAAAAAAAAGGAGTTTTCAATTAAAAAGATTTAAATATGACAGGAACAGTGGTATTATTCCATTCCCGATACTTTTAGGCTGCTGCCTCGAATTTTGCGGGCAGCGGGGCGGCGGCGGCGCGGGAGCGGCAAAAGTCGCGGCAGCAGCCTATGTATGAGCATTTAAGTGACCGCCCGCTCTCTACATTTTATTTCAAACGCGTCTTTCTCGAATGGACTTTTTTTCAACTTGTGGGCATTCTAGTTCAAAAAGCTGACCAATCGTTCTGGAATTTGTTGTGTCAATTCAAGTCCATATGAGCATTATTCTGGGATTATATTATTTTTTTAAATATGTTTTATGCAAAAAAGGTCAACAAATATGGTTATATAAAAATATAGCATTGTCTTCAAACTCCTCAAAAAATGCAAATTTTTATCACGACTCTTAATTTTAGGAAAAATGTTGCTAACGCAAAAACCAAATTGGGATGATTACAGATAGAAATTGCGACAACAGGAATGCCCACCAGCAAAATACTCCGTTGGCAATTATCCATGGATAGCACGTTCTAACGCCAGTATTTCTGTCGAAAATTACTTGGAAACAATCTTAAGTCTACTTCAAAGCATGAATTAAATACTCCAAAATTAAAAAAAACCTGATAATTTTCCCTACTTAAACAATTAGCGAACAACACCAAAATACCGGCCTCAGTTACTGGTTTCCCCCCTTAATAGATGTAAAAAAAGTCGGTGATGAGCCTTCTGTGCCTGACGCACACCGTCAACTATTTGGGTTTCCTGATCATGCTTTCCTTCACCGTACGAGCGACTATTAAATGCGCACAGCCGGGGGTCGAACCTCAGGGAAGAGTCGCACACGCAACATCTCTCTTTGTTTTATGTATAATATATAACATAAAACAGTAGTTTATGCATAAATAATTGATTATTAGATTAAAGTGAATCATACGAAGAATTGTATTCGCGTTTACTGCCATCTATCGAAGATAACGTTAATAGTTAAAGTTGTGCACACTTGTTATTGATGCACATGCATGTATCTTGTTTTCTATGTTATGTGTTCTCTGTAAGTGTTTGTATGTGTTTCGTTAGTGTGCCTTTTGAAATAAAATAAAAAATAAATAAAAATAACTGTATACTTGACAAGTACAAGGCTAATGTCCAGAGATGGCGCTCAATGTTGCCTTCTCATTATTTTATACTTCGTTAAGTACCTATATATGAGCATCGACATTCATATTTCTCTTGTACTTACACTTGCTAGACAAGTATTATAATTTTGGATAGTGAAGGAAATATAAGTATGTGTAATTCAGATCGCAAGCTTATAAAGTCTAAATTCTGGTAGCTATGGTAATACATGGTACTTTCATCTGAAAACCTCTAATTGGCATTGTTTTTTAACCAATTTTCTTACAGCTCACTTGCAATGGCAACATTAAAACTTGTGCCACCCTTCTAAGTAGACGATTTTTGTTCTTGTCCTTAATGTAAAAAGAAAACGCGAAACTTTCGGGGCGCGGCGAGTTTTAAATTTTTTCTCCCCTAATGCGCTTATTACGAGTTGAAGGAAGCACAATTTCCCAAAGATTTCTTAGTTCACATATAAATTTATTTGAATAGTGTTTCGGAAAGTAAATATTTTATTATTTGAATGTTGTTTCTAGATATCTATTGTCGTAGCTAAGATATTATCTAAGTCGCTAGTCGTTAATTTCTTTTGTAATCAAATGTTTGGGATCAACACGTGATCAGCCCTCTGTGCTTTTCAATTCAATGCCCGTGCACCATTATGCCGTAACAGCCCATGTAGACCGTACAATTTCTAAAATGAGGATATTATATTTTTATTTTATATTCCATGGATACCCATTGGTATACACCCATTCTAAAGTTTGTTAAATCTTGTAAGCTAAGTGTAACTTTTCGCAATAGTTACTAACTAAATATATGTAGCAGACCACAAAAGATCAATGACCACATTCATATCCTAACATTAAGGCATTAGCAAAATCAAATAACAGTATATTTGAGAAGCACTGTCGACCGACAAAGCTTTTGACGCGAAGGCGGCCGCGAGGTCGCCGGATGGCGCGATTTACATTTTTATTCCTTTATTTACGGCTATTTCCCTCCTTACACGGATGCTGTTTTAAAAAGTATTTTAAAAGGAAAAGTTTATATACCTCTTGGTATAGACCGAATTCTAATTGGAAATACAGAAATGGTATCAAGTGTAATCTTTGTTTTATAGCTTCGAAGTTAATATTGAGAGAAGATTTTAAAGAAAAACATGGAAGACCAAAGCTCTTATATTCGATACCCAATACGTCGTAATATATGGGGAGTTATTAATAAGTAAACGTTTTTTATCAAGGATACCTAATAATCGTCAAATCTCCAAGGCTCATTCGTAGTCAACCAAACGAAAGCTTACCTATACACTGCGTCCGGCAAAGCTCTATTGTCGATGAAAAGCCACACGAGGTTTGTCTTATGAGTCGT